CCCGAGCTGCAAGGCCTCCATGTTCTGCACTGCGTCGGAATGCTCCAACGCCAGCCCGGCAGCTGCCTGTGTAAGCCCGGTGCCCTGCTTCTCCATATCCTCATCCATGCTCGCATTCCCGGCTGGGGCCACCTTCAGGTCGGGCAGCTGATGCGCCGCGCAGGTGTCCACGCCTGGCAGCGCGGGGGCATCAACGCCATGGGCCGCGCAAACGCGGCAGCGCACCGCCATATTAGTTGTGCTGGCGAGGACAGGAACCAGAAATATCTCGGTTTACCCACCCTAGCGAATTCTGCGAGTGCTCTCCTCGGGCGTTCCGCGGCTAGTGACCTCCGATGCCCAAAGTAAAAGCGGGGCGGGCCCCACTCTTAGAATCCGGACGAGCATCGAGCCTTGAGCCTCGAGCCAGGTTATTGAGCTCTTGCGACCATACATGCATACAAACATACATACATATATGCATACATACATACATACATACATACATACATACATACATATATACATACATACATATATACATACATACATACATACATACATACATACATACATACATACATACATACATACATACATACATACATACATACATATATGCATGCATGCATGCATGCATGCATGCATGCATGCATGCATGCATACATACATACATACATACATACATAATATAACATAACATACATACCATACCATACCATACCATACCATACCATAACATACCATACCATACCATACCAAGCCAAACCATACCATACCATACCATACATACATACATACATACATACATACATGCATGCATGCATGCATGCATGCATGCATATACACATACATACATACATACCTACATACATACATACATACATACATACATGTATACATACATGCATGCATGCATGCATACATGCATGTATGGATGCATACATACATACATACATGCGTACATACATACATGCATGCACACATGCACACATACATACAGATATACATACATACATACATACATACATACGTACATGCATATATACATACGTACATACATACATACATGCACAGATACATACATATACATATGCATACATACATACATACAGACAGACAGACAGACAGACAGACATGCATGCATACATACAAGTATACATACATACATGCATACATGCATGCATGCGTGCATACAGCATACAGTATGAGGCCGTACGTACATACGTACAAACACACATATATCAGAGTGAGGGGGCCGAACGGTCATTCACTGTCCCTGGGTGCGTGGCTGATGTGGAATTCCGCAGTGCGGATTCTTGTTGTTGTTGTTGTTGTTGTTGTTTGTTGTTGTTGTTGTTTGTTGTCGTCGTCCCACCCGCAACCCGCCCCGCGACCCACCCGCGACCCACCCCGCGACCCACCCCGCGACCCACCCGCGACCCACCCGCGACCCACCCCGCGACCCACCCCGCGCGACCCACCCGCGACCACCCCGCGACCCACCCGCGCGACCCCCCGCGACCCACCCGCGACCCACCCGCGACCCACCCGCGACCCACCCGCGACCCACCCGCGACCTACCCCGCGACCCACCCGCGACCCACCTTCGACCCAAACCACGTTCAAGGTACAAACCACAATTTTCGGCGCCTGCGGCGGGCTTTTTTGCATTCCTTCCAAGTGGAGAGCCCGCGACACATCCCGTGACCAACTCGCGACCAACCCGCGACCCAAACCGCGTTCAGGGTACAAACCACATTTTTCGGCGCCTGCGGCGGGCATAGTTTGCATTCGTTTCAGGTGGAGAGCCCGCGGCCCACCCGCGACCACGTTCAGGGTACAAACCACATTTTCGGCGCCTGCGGCGGGCATCCTTTGCATTCGTTCCCTGTGGAGAACCCGCGGCCCACCCGCGACCCAAACCTCGTTCCGTGTACGAACCATTTTTTTTGGCGCTTGCGGCGGGCTGCTTTTGCATTCCTTCCAGGTGGAGGTGGAGAGCCCGCGACCCACCCGCGACCTAAACCACGTTCACTGAACAAACCAATGCCGCACAAGCGCGGCGGCGGATTCTTGCATGCCGTCTGATCCCGCAAGGACCTCTTCACGCCCCGCACATCCACGCCAGCCCGTCCAGCAACTTTGCCCTGCCGAGTTGCCTTGATCAGAGAAGGCGGGGAGCATAAAGTGGAAAAAAGGATTGCGTTGCAGTTATCTTGGGAAAATAGGGGGAGGCAGGATGAGTAAACAGGGGGCGAGGAGAACGTGGAAGAAGAGAGGATTTAAGGGAAACGTGGAGAACGAAAAGGAGGAGCAGGAGGACGAGGGGGAGGAGGGGGAGGAGGGGGAGGAGGAGGACGAGGAGGGGGAGGATGGGGAGGATGATGATGATGGACGACAATGGGAGGACGATGATGGAGGCCGATGAGGGGGAGGACGACAATGGGAGGACCATGATGAAAAGACGAGGGGGGGAGAGGGAGGACGAGGAAGAAGAGGAGGAGGAGGAGGACGAGGTGGAGGAGGATAATGACGATGACGATGAGGGCGAGGAAGAGGAGGAGGAGAAGGAGGAGGAAGAGGAGGAGAAGGAGGAGGAGGAGGTGGAGGAGAGCGCCATCGACAAGGAAGGTGGGGGCCACGAGGTCCGCCGGCTCGACGACGCCCGCGTCGCCCGCGCCCGCCCCCTCACTCTTATCCGCAATTGCGGGGTGCTACGGTAATTGCATGCATGCATACAGCATACGTGCGTACATATGTGCATGAACACATGTACGCATGCATGTATACATGCATGCATGCATACATACATGCATACATGCATACACACATACACACAGACATGCATGCATGCATACCTACATACGTACATGCATACGTGTAGACATTCATACATGTATACATGCATACATACATGCACGCATACAAACATGTATGCGTCCGCTTTCGAGGGGTGGGCCTTTTCAGGCCCGCGAGGGCCCCAAGACGGGCCAAGAGGGCCGCAAGACCCCCCAAGACGGCCCCGGAAGCCCCCGAGACGCCCAAAGAGCACTCCAAGACGCCGAAGATGACCTCCAGACGGCCCAAGAGGCCGCCGAGACGCTCCAAGAAGCCTCCAAGAGCCCTCAGAAGAGGACCCTTCGAGGCAAAAATCAGAATGCTTATATACGATGGTTTTGGAAGGATTCTGGCCTTCCCGCCTTTTCGGTTTCCCGACGCTCCAAGACGGCCCCAGGGGCCTCCAAGATCGCCCCAAGACGGCCCAAGAGACTCCCAAAATGGCCCCAAGACGGCCCAAGAGAGCCCCAAGACTGCCCAAGAAACCACCTAACCGTTAGTCGTCTGTTGTCGTCGTCACCGTCCAACCCAGCAATGGCATCAAAAGCGCGCCGGATCGGCGGCACTGGCTGGAGGCCGATACAATACATACACGCATAAGTATATACATACATACATACATACATACATACATACAGACAGACAGACAGACATACATACATACACACATGCAATACATGTATACCTGTCTACCTACCTACATACATACATGCATGCATGCATGCATACATGCATGCATACATACATGCTTGCATACATCTGGACATGCATACATACAAATGAATATGTCTATACATATACATATATACATACATACATACATACATACATACATACATACATACATACATACATACATTCATACATTCATACATTCATACATACATACATACATACATACAAACAGACTTACGTACATACATAAATTGCATTACTACATTACATTACATTACACTACAATACATTACATTACACTACACTGCGCTACAATACATTACATTACACTACATTAAATTACATACATACATCCATACATACAGGCATGCACACATGCATGCATACATGCATGCATACGTGTGTATCCCTCCTCCTCCTCCTGTTCCTGCGCCTGCTCCTGCTCCTGATCCTGCTCCTCCTCCTCCTCCTCCTCCTCCTCCCCCGACTACTACTAGCACTACGACTACTACTACTACTACTACTACTACTACTACTACTACTACTACTACTACTACTACTACTACTACTACTACTACTACTACTACTACTACTACTACTACTACTACTACTACTAACTACTACTACTACTACTACTACTACTACTACTACTACTACTACTACTACTACTACTACTACTACTACTACTACTACTACTACTACTACTACTACTACTACTACTACTACTACTACTACGACTACGACTACGACTACGACTACGACTACGACTACGACTACGACTACGACTACGACTACGACTACGACTACGGCGACGACTACTACTACTACTACTACTACTACTACTACTACTACTACTTGGCCTCCTCGAGAGAAAGAGATAGGGAAGTAGGAGGAGGAGGAGGAAGAAAAGAACTGGAGAAGATGGAGCGAACAAATAAACGAAACGGAAGTGGGAGAGGCCATGTCGCCTTGTTCCTGAAAATGCAAGGGGCCCAAAAAAGATTGAAACCAAACCAGCATAAACAACTTTCGACGCTCCGCGCGCCCAATTTTCGACGCTCCGCGCGCCCAACTTGAAACCAACGTTCGACGCTCCGCGCGTCCAACTACTCTGGCCTCAGCAGCGGCATTGGTAAGGCACCCCCCCCCCCGCCCAAGGCAGGCAGCCTAAGAGAAGGAGGAGGAGCAGGGGGAAGACGTCGACAAGGTGTAGGATGCTGAGGTGGCGGTAGAGGAGGCGGAGGAGGAGGGGAGAGAGGAGGAGAAGGAGGGAGAGGCTGAGGTGGAGGTGGGGGAGGAGGCGGAGGAGGACGAAAGGGCTGAGGAGGAGGAGCAGCAGCAGCAGGACGAGGCGGAGCAGGGAGGAGGAGGAGGGAGGGAGGGAGGGAGGAAGGGAGGGAGAGAAGAGGAGGAGGAGAAGGAGGGCGAGGCAGAGCAGAGAGGTGACCCCCAGACTCCCCTGGAGCAGCGAGGGAGAGGAGCCGGAGGAGCGACTGCTTTGGCGCCTCGTACAAGACGCAGCCAAGGGCCCAAATGTCGCTCTTGTAGCCGTACGGCTCGGCCTTGCAAACCTGGTGAGGCCCGGCGGCGCTGTGAATTACACGCTGTGCATATGTTTATATCCGCCGGCCCCCTTGCGGGGCCACCAGGCTGTAGGCGCGAGGTTCGCAGTTTCCTGTACCAGTCGTAGGTTGTAGTTTCCAGTGTTACAGTTCTGCTTCTTGCTGGTTACTGTAACTAGTTGATTGACCGCGCGAGGGGGGGGGAGGCCCAAACGGAATTTTTTAGCACCCCCTGGGCGCGTTGTCTGAATTGCTGGGGGGGCTCGAAATCGACACCCCTCACGCAGATCCGCGGGGTCAGGGTCCAAAAACACAGGGATTTGCCACATTTCTGAAATTCGGTGCCACCCCTCACGCAGATCCGCGGGGTCAGGGTCCAAAAACACAGGGATTTGCCACATTTCTGAAATTCGGTGCCACCCCTCACGCAGATCCGCGGGGTCAGGGTCCAAAAACACAAGGGATTTGCCACATTTCTGAAATTCGGTGCCACCCCTCACGCAGATCCGCGGGGTCAGGGTCCAAAAACACAGGGATTTGCCACATTTCTGAAATTCGGTGCCACCCCTCACGCAGATCCGCGGGGTCAGGGTCCAAAAACACAGGGATTTGCCACATTTCTGAAATTCGGTGCCACCCCTCACGCAGATCCGCGGGGTCAGGGTCCAAAAACACATGGGATTTGCCACATTTCTGAAATTCGGTGCCACCCCTCACGCAGATCCGCGGGGTCAGGGTCCAAAAACACAGGGATTTGCCACATTTCTGAAATTCGGTGCCACCCCTCACGCAGATCCGCGGGGTCAGGGTCCAAAAACACATGGGATTTGCCACATTTCTGAAATTCGGTGCCACCCCTCACGCAGATCCGCGGGGTCAGGGTCCAAAAACACAGGGATTTGCCACATTTCTGAAATTCGGTGCCACCCCTCACGCAGATCCGCGGGGTCAGGGTCCAAAAACACACATGGGGCCATTTTGCGAAATTCGGTGCCACCCTCACGCACATCCATCGCAAGGCGTGGTAACCCAAACTGCGAGTACTCCCTCGGCCCTTTAATCCCAAGGTGTGGTAACCAAGCTCGTAAACCATACACGTCTTACCAATCGCCCTGTGTGGTAACCCCTCTTGTGATCAGTTGGTTTTGCCGATTGCGAATCGGCCTCGCATGAAGTTCCGATACTGCTGCACGACAGCGCCAAAGCCTCATGACTTAGCTCTTCCATGGCCCATTCTCCGAGAGAGGGGGCCGGCGGCAGGGGGCGAAGCCCTTACGGATAAAGAGGTCTGTGTGTGTGTAGAGAGAGAGAGAGAGAGAGAACAAAACAAAAAAAAAGAGGGAGAGAGAGAGAGAGACAGAGGCAGAGACAGAGACAGAGAGAAGAGGAGAAGGAGAGTACAATCCTCACAAGTTTCCTCCGAAAACATTGCGGCCCAAACGTCAGGGCCCTTTATTCACTGCGTTGTTGTGTGAAAACATCCCAGATGTTATTAAGTTGCATCTCCCTTACTATTGCCATCCAAGACTTCGAGGCCTTTGATCAGTTCACGTTGGTACCAGGGCAGGTCGATCCCTCGACAGGCTCGTCTGCGCCCTCCATATTCAGCGGTTCGTTCGACAGCCAGATTCAGATTCGGCAACAGCGGCTGCCTCGACAGCTCGATGGAATCGAACGCCAGCGAATTCTACCTTTTTATTTTTCTTTCCGGCAAACAAATCCACCTCTCAAGAATCCGCTGCCCCTCGAGGAGGCTTTCCTGACCTCCGCGCACGATACACAGAACCTGGCAGAGAGCAAAAACCAGCAACGGCCCAGGACACGCAGGGGGGTCCTGCGAACGTGGCCGAAATTCTGCGTGAGATGCCACGCGGGGAAAGGGGGAAGGAGGAGGCGGAGGAGGACCACGAGCAGCAGCACCACGAGCAGCAGCCGACAGAGAAGCTCGACATCAATGGCACCCTCATCACCATCGACAAAACAGACTACATCTATTATACGCCGCCAAGGCGACGAACATCATGGCTAGATGTTCACCATTGAATTGTACCAGAACGCGGAGTTCCACACCTCGACGGCACGTTATCAAGATGACAGGAATACGAGAAGCGAGCGACAATGTTCATTTAGACGCTAGTGTGGGCGAAAAAGGAGGACGAAGAGGCTCTCCCGTTATCGGCAGGCCTCACCAATGAAGAATGAGACGAGGTCGAGGATATCTCGGCGGACGACCTGTTCAAGCTGGGCGCCGGCAAATCACTTCTCGAGCGACTTCGACGACGGTCCAAGATGGACACCTTGGCAGACGATTTCGAAGAGTACATCTACAAGCTCAAGCGGATCAAAAGCGAGACGTTCAGATCAGAAGGCAGTCATCATGTCCATCGTGGAGGGAGACAGTCATCGAGGCGCTGGAGACCACTTGCGGACAGGAGAGCGCGGCATACTAGCCTAATCGTACTAGGAAGCAGTACTGCGTCGACGAAAATGGAGAATACTTCGAAGAAGAAATGCAATATAGCCAGGATGACGAGCCGGAGTTCGACGACGGCTGCGAGCAGGAGTACTGGGCGAAGGACCATGATGCTTGGTACGACTGCGACGAGAGCTACTACCAGCATCAGACGGCCACAGCCCAGGACTTCGACCCTGGCGAGCACGACGAGGTGTTCGCGGCCAACCACGACACGAGGAAGCGTGTCGTCGACCTTCGGCTCGCCCGAGGCTTCTACCCAGCGATGGCGATGGTGATCCCGTCCGACGGAGCAAGGAGCCCACCATCAGCCGCCCCACACGGCCAAAGATCAAGGCAGAGGAGCGAAGCGACGCGGCAGGAGCGCGAAGGGCAGCCCCGGCAAGAGAAAGGCAGCCCAGGACGGAGAGGATCAGTCCCGCCTCCGCCTCGCAACCGACGCACAAGACCACGACCATCGGAGAGGGCAGCAGCGGCAAGAAGACCAGCACCGATGTCCGCGACGTGTCTGCGGCACGGCAAAGCCGAACACTAGGCAAAGGACTGCGTGGAGCCACCGACGAAGCGGCTACACACCTCAGACGAGATGATGGTTGACGAGGTCTACTGTGACAACAAGAAGATCAGCAGCACCGGCCCAGCGTGGCTCAACATCCAGGACTGGAGATACTGAACTCATGTCAGTTTCTGAAACGATCAAGGACTACCTGGCAGAGCGTCGCAACAAGAGCAACCCCATCGAGGAGCTCAAGCTCCATAAGTGCCGCAGACCGTTCAGACTCGGCAGCGGCAAAATCGAGCACGCGCAGCGGTGCGGCGTCATCCTGGCCACACGTCGGTCAGAAGAAGTAGGTAGAAGCATGAAGTAGGAAGGCGGATATAGTGGATTGGGTCTGGGTCCCCCCAGAGAATCACAAAACACAGCAAAAGCGTGTCGACTCTTGAAGTAGGAAGGCGCTTGAAGTAGATTGGGATCTGGGAATCCAAAAATAGCGATGCCCTTCCTCTGCTGAAAAAGCTCCTCTTAAACCCAAGGCCGATGCACTTTTCCGGGCTCACCACTGCCTCTGCAAACATCTGACAGCTCGAGGGCGGCCTCAGTTGGGGCCGGCCTCGACTAGCCAAGGGTGGGCGGGCACGGGAGAGCTTGAAACCAGAGCCCCCGCGCGTCGAGGAATCACTGCAATCAGCGATGCCCTTCCTCTGCTGAAAAAGCTCCTCTTAAACCCAAGGCCGATGCACTTTTCTGGGCTCGCCACTGCCTCTGCAAACATCTGACAGCTCGAGGGCGGCCTCAGTTAGGGCCGGCCTCGACTAGCCAAAACCGCTCATGGTGGAAGAAGGGGCGGAGGAGGGAGGAGCGAAGCGGGCACCGAAGAGCTCTGTTGGCAGCGGCGGCGCCACACGAGGACGGCGACCGGAAGGGCGGGGGTCGACGTCGCTCGGCCTCGGCAAACGACTCGAAGACAGAAGCTGCCAGGTGGCCTCAAAAAGGAGGTCGCCGGCAGCCTCGGCGAAAAGCCGGACCTTGCTACGGAGGGGGCTCGGGAGGTCCGCGAGGAGCGTACTAGCCCCGGCCTCTTGGATGTAAATCTCCAACATCCTACTGGAGAGCCACCTACCCCTGTAGCGAACCCAGTCTGGCGAATCTGTGAGCCTATGCCAAAAAGTGGCCCCTCCCGGACGGAGGGACGCGGGGGTGATGCCAACTTTGTCTGAATGTTTAATTCCGAAAAAATCCATGAGGGCACCCAGGCAAGATCTGAAAACACGGGCACCACCATGCATGAGAAGGACGCGAGGGGAGGACCGCAGAGAGAGGGCCTCGAAGAAACACACACAACCTGCGGGACATCTATCCTGATGTGCTCGCGGCGTGCGCCCAGGCGTCTCATTTTGGGCGCACCCACGTGCACATACATCGATTGCAGACGTTCCAACGTCCGCGAGGGGAGCACGAGGTCCCCGAACCTCAGCCTCAGGAACTCGAAGGGCCTCATCATCCCGAAGAAGCCGAGGAGCAGGCAGCCGGCGACGTCGCGCCAGCCCCACGCCAGCGCCAAGCTCACAGAGGCGAGCAGCAGCGCCTCCGGCATCGCCTGGTGGTTCGAGCCCGGCGCGAGGTGCTTCCACGTGAAGGAGATGTCCCACGCAGCGTCTAGCCGGTGTCGAAGGGCACGATTTGCGTCCACCACAGCATTGATCGTCTCGTCGTAGTCGTGGCGGCTCCGCGTCGTGTCGTACAGGAACTGGCCGTATACTTAGCCAGGTAGCGCGCCACCGTCGCCGGGTCCACCAGGATGAACAGGTCCCAGCTGGGCCCGCCGTGGCCCGCCAGCCAGTGCTGGAGCTGCGAGACGAGGACAGCACGGCGCGCCTGGACCACTGGCGTCAGACCGCGCGTGGCCGCCAAGTCCACCCCAGCGGGGCGGGCGGTCGGCGGGCGCGGTGCGGCAGCAGGGTCCCACAGCAGCAGCAGCAGCACCAGGAGCCTGAAGAGGCGCCCCAGCGGCCACGCCGGCCAGGCTGCAGCGGCGCAGGAGGCCGGTGCCAGGGTTCCACGAGCCCGACCCTGATGGAGGCTGGCCGTGCCCGGGAGGAGCCGGGCCGTCACCTGACCAGGGGATGAAACCCTGCTCACCTCCATAGGGGGCCTCTCAAGCCAGCCGCCTCCGCCGCGCGGGCCCTCGCCCGGGAAGCCCAGCGTGGGATCGCGCACCCGCGGTCGAGGGGCGAGCCGCAGGAGCCCGCGCCGCCAGAGGCACGCCACCAGCCAGGCCCGCCGCGACTGCTGCCGGCGCTGCAGCGGGAGCGCAGCCCAAGCGCGGAAGGCCGAGGCGTCCCCGGCCTCGAGGCCGGCCAGCCAGCACGGAGCAGGCGGCGGGGCCTCGGCCCCGCGGGCCAGAGCGCTCGCCGGGTCGCGGAGCGTGCGCGACGGGATGTCAGCTGGCTGCAGGCGCGTCGGCGCGAAGTGGCACCCAACGCACGAGCCCGTGGCCAGTTGCAACGGGGCCCTCCTCCTCAAGAGCTCGTTGATCGCAGTCGACGAGGAGCGGCCCTTGCTGATGGCCCCGATCGAGACGCGGGAGTCCAGGAGGAGGTTGTGCTTGCAATCAGGGAACCGCAGGCCCTGCTCGTCCACCGCGTCGCAAGCTGCGTCGATCTCCAGTAGGTTGATGTGGAGGGGCTGGGCGCCAGAACTCTCCGCCGGGGGCGGCGGGGTCGGCCCGCCCAGGTTGTCGGCGATCAGCTTGGACAGCTCGTCACAGAAGCCGTGCGGGTAGAGCGCGGCCTTGGGAGTCAGGCCGCCCTCCAAGACGGTGTGCTTGTGCCCTCCGCGACAGCGCCTCGCCATTGGCGCCAGCCAGGAGCCCCGCACTACCAGGAGGCTAGTGTCTTTCTTCCAAGGCGCACCGAACTGGCACATCGAGAGGTCGAAGCGGTCCACGGCCTTGTGCGTCAGCAGGAACTCGACGATGCGCGTGCGCCAGGAGTAGGCCGTCAGGGGATGCTCGTGCAAACCGGTCCCGTGGCCAGAGATCAGGTGGGCGAACAGCGCCAGCATGCCCACCCTGAAGAGGACGTTCCCCAGATGCGTCGGGGTCGAGGATGGGTCGAATCCCCACGGCCGCATCCTGGACCTGAGCCGTGGGTGCCTCGCGATCGAGAAGCTGGTGCACGGAACCTGTGATATGGTCATCTTGACGCGCCTCTGCCAGATCAGCCATACTATCCACTCCGCTAGGCGCGAGTCGACCAGGTCCCAGTACTTGTGGCACTTGATGTCTATCCTCGGGCCTGCGCGCAGGCCTCGGCCCGAGAGGTACCCCATGAGGCGGGCCTCCTCCCCGCAGCAGAGCTCCAGCACGTCAAAGTACTCGATGAGCGAGGCCGTCGGGTCGACAATGCCAGGGGGAGGTGCGGCATCCTCCTCCAGGTCCTGCAGGACGGCGCCGTCCTCGGGGTTGGCCATGGCAGCCCAGCCTGAGGGGTACAGCCACGTGCGAGCGCCTCGCTGCTCGCGCTGGCGCCAGAACGCTCTGGCGGTGGGCGCTGAGGCCGGCGTCTTGACGGACGCTCCGGCCAGGTGCGAGGCGTCCGAGGCCAGAACGTGCGGGCCCCAGCCCGCGGAGAGGTCGGTGGCCAGCAGCGGGAGGAGGACTGCGAACAGAGCGCACTCGTTGCAGGCCGCGCTGCTCAGGTCGAACACTTCGTGCGGGTTGCGGTCGACGTCGACCTCCTCGTAGCAGTGGTGGAGAAGCGACAGAGTCGGCCGCCGGAACAGCGCGGCGAAGAGCCCCATGCCAAGGAATCTCTGCAGTCCCAGCGTAGTGGAGCGTCGGCCCCGAGCCATGGACAGGCCCATCCAGGCCAGCGCCAGCCTGCGGGTGCGGGAGGCGCCGACGAGCCGGTCATGACCCAGGAGCTCTGCCCCGATGACCGTCGCCTCCGCCGCGTCCTTCACCTCCTT